ACGGGAAAGTAGAGACGTATCATGTCTGCCCGAATAACATTCATCAAAAAGTTATCGAGCCGAAGTAAGTTGTTTTTTGCTCCAGACGCTCCAAATTTTTGTCGTGTATTTTCAAATTGTGCTGTTTCATGGAAGTAGTTTTAGCTGAGATAAATTCAGACGCGTAGAATGTGGCCCATCGTCCGATCCGTGGATCGCGAATAGACACTGTGCCTCGAAGGCTCGAAACAAGGTGTACACTCTGGCAGGCGCAGTGTAGGCAATTTGCACATCAGATATCAAGGGTCAAACGGTGTAGCGTTGGAAGTATTTCTGCAAGTCGAAGGCGCTACATCGGGTACGCGTTCGTAGAGGCGGCTTTTGTTTCCCGCAACCGTGGGAATTTTTCTGTTTCAATTACGCCGACTGCGCTGTGTAATAGTTCGTAGAAAATGCATGGATTGTTTGCGAAAGCGTACAATGAAGAACCTTCTGCACTCCTAACTAAATCAAAGACTTGATGGACAAGGCGTATGTGTGCAGATTTTGTACACGGTTTCCAACATTACATGAAGCCTTATGGTGGAAAGGAAGTTCAAACTCACTTTTTGATGCTTAAAAATTTCATATTAGCGCTAAATTTTGCACAGATTATATTTTAAGACTAGCATTATTGGAAATCAATGCTTCAATTTTTTTTTATAAAATGCACTTATGCGCTTTGAACAAGTAATTTTAATTGAAAAACTATATTTCAAAGAAATATTCCCCGCCAAAGAACATTCTTAATGACTTTCTCCTTTCTCTAAATTTTGATTCCTTCTTCGTAATTCGACCTATGGACTGTCTTACTCCCCTGCCTCACCCCGTCCATCGAGCGTCTTAAAAATGATTCTATTAGCATAGAGAGGATTTTAGTTGCCGATGTAAATCCTGCGTGACGCCTTACCTCTGACGGATCCGGCAGAAGTCGTGAAGAATCCGGAGGCTCGCTCGGCGGTGTCTTCGAAGAATCCGGTGGTGTTTTTGAAGGTTCCGGTGATTTTCCTGTCGTGAAAGGTGAGCTCCTCTGAGCATTGAAAGTCCGGATGGGGATGGCCGGAACTAGGACCGTTGTGCCTTCGGTGACGGTGGTTTTTCCGGAATTTTTGGCAGAATCACTGCCCCAACTCCGATCATCATCCGAAAACGTGAACACAGCTCCAAGTGAATTACAACGAGCTCCTGTAGTGAGTAGAACTTTTCATTATGTACTACGAATTTTCAAAAAATTCAGTTTGTATCAAGAATGGGGCAAGAAGAGAGGATAAGTTTTAATCAATAATGAATTACTCGGGTCTATTGGCTTTCAATTAACTTTTTCAATGATAGCTTTATTGGAACGGTGCTCAACAAAAGAAAAATTCAAAATGTTTGAGACTTCATTTCAAATTTTCAGAACCTACGTAATTAAACTGCATTTGCCAAATTCAGTTTTTTTCTGGCGTCAATATTTTCGCAATGTTGGTATCTCAAAACTGTTCAAAGTTATATGCTTCTTTTTTCAAAGACCGTTTCGGAAAAATTTCCTGGCATCTTACCGACCTAACATTTTCTTTTTCCAAGGGAAAAGAGTGGCCTGGGCACCACCCCCCCNCTGGCCCCCCCCCCCCCCCCCTCCAGAAGCGCCTACTTCTAGAGCGTCAACCAAAGTTCGGCCTATGCTCAAATGGCAGTGATCGCTGTAAGTTGCGATATGATCGGAGAATATCGCGATTTTCTCGACGTTAATTTATTGCAATATTATCAAATAAAAAATTGCGATAATCACTCAGATGTTGATATTTTTAGCGATTTCATCAGGAAATGATCGTAAACAAAATCACAACTTAATTTCAAAATATCGCGTTACTGTATGTATGTATAAGCCGCTTTTACGATGCGCTCGGGATCTCAGCGAGGCCCACTCTCCACAGGAATCTTTCATGGTAGAGATCCTCCGGACGCTGGCATCTCTCCATCTCTTCACGGATGCCCTCCACCCATCGTTTGGCTGGACGCCCTCTCCGTCGCCTACCTGGGGGCACCCACTCCAACACCTTCTTCGGCAACCTGGTATCAGCCATTCTCTGCACATGCCCATACCATACCAATAATATCGCGATTTTTCCGTTGTAAAATGCTGCTCGGGGAGGACGCTAAAAATATCATTTCGACCCTGATTTTATAGCGGAGTTGGGCAAAGCTAGCCGGATGAACCAACCCTTTTCGCTAGGATTAGAGGAGCATTGAAAAAAAAATCTCGGTGCATTTACTAAGAAGAGGGTAAAATTCCCAAGAATTCAGGGTTCTATTTGAGACCAGTTTTTTCTTGGTAAAATTACCATCTATGGAATCGGTAGGGTTACCTAGAAATTTTACTTTCTCGGTAATTTTACTGGACCTTGGTAAAAACGCCAATATTTTTTATCGACTGTGGTAGAATTACCGAGATAAAATGGCAAAGTTACCGGGAATTGATTACCAATAAAAGTTGTATTCTTTCCCCCAAAAAATAGTAAAAATACCGGTTTTTAGGTAAGCGTACCAGTCTTTCTTGGTAAAATTACCAATAATTGGTAAAAAAGTGAGATGGTAAAGGTACCAACGGACCTTGGTAAAAACGGCGAGAATTTGTTTTCAGTGAGGGTGGAGGGTGGTGTTACCTTGACTGGAGGCGGTGGCGGCTGCGTAGGCGGCGGCCTCCCGGACGGGGGAGCTGGCGACGGATCGGCGGGCGATCTCCGTGAAGGTGACGGGGGAGTAGATGCGGGCGGCGGCCTGGTCCTGCGGCAGCGGCGAGAAGATCCGCGAGCTCCCGTCCACGATCCCGATCAAAGTGTCCGCCGACTTCTCCCACTCCACCTCCGAGCCGTCGCTCCTCGCAGGGATGCTCCGCGAGAGCGGTGGACGCTCCTCAGGCCGCTCCAGCCAGTAGGTCTTCATCACTCCTGAGAGTCACACAAAAACATCACCATCACAAGTTCAACAAAATCAACCCACACACCCTCCCACTAAGGCCTTGTCTCCACGGGACGTTTCATGGGATTTGTCCCAGGGAAAAACCTCACTTGCCAAGTTGAAGAAAATATTGAGTTAGTCAATACTACTCACAGTGCCAACTAAGAGTCCTCTGGGACTCCCAGAAATGACGTAAAAAGACGAAGAAGAAATTTTGTCGTGTTTTTTAAGGGGAAAAAAGCCCAGAAGTTTCATTCCTGAGATTCGAACATGGGAAAAATCCCGTGAAACATCCCGTGGAGACAAAGCGTAATATCTACCTCCCAAGAAACAACGCCGTATCAGCCTTCAGACCTTGCAAAACGCCCTCCAATAAAAACCGAATTTACTAGACAAATTTTGAATTTTTCTCCTCCAATTTCTAAAACAATTTTGTTCGCAATTTGATCCAAAATTTGTGAAATTTTCAAGAAAAAGTATGCACAAAATTTAGAGGTTCGTCCTCCACAAGAGAATATTTGGCAACTCTCTAATAACAATTCGGCGTTCTTCCTTTTAGCAAGGCAGTAATGAGGAGTGTCAAAGGTGTAGCAAGAAAAAAATTAAGGAAAGGCCGAGGGTTTATATACCCTTAGAGAAATAATGTCACCTACTGCTGCCTTACCTGAAACTACGTCATTTTTTTGCGCACTGATGGCTTTCTCAGGTGTCTCATTTTGACACAATTAAGATTAAGTTTGATGTTTCAGCTCTTTGAGTGATTTCATCTGAAAGAGTTCAAACAAATTCGGAGGGAAACTCGATTTTGAAAATTTGACACTTACTGCTCTCTTTGCTATCACGGCAGTCAGATGCGACCATAGAAAATACCAAATCCCGGGGTTATTCGAGTAGACCTTAGTAATGAAGAAATTTAGTTAAAGGTGAGCTATGCTACGAGTGCGAATGTTAACATTTTGTCCCGGAGGAAGGACGATTAAATGAAAAGGAAAGGTACCTTTGCCTTTGACTTGGATCTCTCCGCGCTCTTTGACTTTGTAGTTGGGCGAGAGGAGATCGCGTGTGGACTGGGAGATGTGGATCTTCATGGGTTCGCAGGTGGACTCCATTCTCGAGGCCGTGTTCACGCTGTCGCCGAAGAGGCAGTAGCGAGGCATCTTCAGCCCCACGATCCCTGCCACCACTGCCCCGGAGTGCACCCCCACTCGGATCTGTAGATGCGAACCTGAGAAATAACCAACCAAAAACTCACTTCAGAATTGAGATTATGAAATACCTCAAAATAATTGTTAGAATAATTGATAGGGTGGGAGCCGGCACTGGTTGAACTGTTTATCATCCCTTGTCTTTAAGGTTAACACATAGGGGTTCATCAGTTGATTCGTTAATTTTTTCTTTTCATATTGCGGGCGTGTCGTCAATTTTAGGTAATTTTATTGTTACTATATGTATTTTTAACATACGAACTCTTGGTATAAACTTTGAATATCTAAGATTGTTTGTTTGGTCAGTGTTAATTACGGTATTTCTAATATTGATTTCACTTCCTGTTCTTGCAGGGGCTATTACAATGATGTTGATAGATCGAAATTTGAATAGATCCTTTTATGATCCTTTGGGGGGGGGGAGGTTTGACCCTATCTTATACCAGCACCTAAGGTTGTCCAAAAAGTAATGCAATGATCGACTTTTAGAGTGAACGGAAAAAGCTAAAAAAAAATCGGTGTACATATTCGTGTAACTGGAGTTAAAACCAATAAAATGAGACCTTGTTGAGCTCTTTTGGTAAAATATTGGCCGAGATTTTTGCACCGATTTTTTTTAAGCTTTTTCCGTTCGCTCTAGTCACTCGTTCATTTCTCTGCAAAAAGTACCCCTAGAATCCTGGAGGGTGTCTCTCAACATGCCGCAGGAGAAACATGATCTCTCGGTCAATTTTTGACTAAAAGAGCTCAACAAGGTCTTATTTTATTTGTTTTTACTCCATCTACACAAATGTATACACTGATTTTTTTTAAACTTTTTCCCTTCGCTTTAAAAATCGATAATTGCATTACTTTTTGGACAACCTATCTACGCAATAAACTCACTTATTGCCCAAGATTATTTTGACCAAGGAGTGAAAGGTGTCAAAAACCATGCCCAAAGAGCGGAAGCGCGTATTTTCATTGCGGTGTGACAAAACTCCCACCCCTTTTCATGTTTTCGAAGAGGAACAAGCCGACTTTATAGCTTGTGATTTATAAAGCATATTCTGATGATAGAGAGGAAAAATCAAGGAAGTTTTAAAAAAAATTGTGTTGACCAGCTTTTTTTTTAAAAAATAAGCAAAATACGATAGGAATTCTGCAACGTCGCAAACGGATATACGCCGTTCTACACATTGGCCATCGATGTATCAAATAAATTTGCTGAAATACTGGTTTCATAACGCGGTAAGAATATTTTAGGGTCATATTTTAGCAGTCTATTTCTAGAAAATCACATCTGAGGTACTAAATCAGAGCTGAATAGACTACAATCTCCAATTCAGGATTACCATTTCTGACTCATTTATGAAAGTGCCTATCTGCATGGGTAAATTAAGGGCAAATGTGTTGTTCCTAAATTAACCAGATGTAATGTTTCCTTATTTGTAAAGTTTAGTCCGATTTAGACTGAACGAGAAAGTTACGCAAAGTTAGGCGTGACCAAATAACAGTGATATTCTGCGTTGGTCCTGTCATCGTGTATTAGCTTAAGCGGGAAATACGAGATAAATATTACTAACTAGCAACCAACCCGTGCTTCGCACGGTGATAAACCGTCATTAATGAAATTACACCATGTTATAACAATAACTTTTGTATTAATATATTTTACTATACCTATTATGCCCATATTTATATTTTTTAATATAATTATTCAGAAGCTACAAAATATTTTTACATATGGGGGCTGTTGTTGTACCCATCAGCAAAAACAAAAAACATGTTTGCGAGTATCAATTTTGTAAATATGGTATAGTAATTTATAGACCCAGCAGTCTTGAAATTAAAAAATAAATAACTGTTGTAAGAAGATGTATTTATTAATTTCAATAAATAAAAAAGGCAAATTTTGAGATGTTGCTCTACACTAAAAACATTAAATGAAAAATCATACAAAAGAATAAACTTAAAAAATATAAAATCATGAGTGTGACAGACATTTTGAGATCTTGCGCTAGACCTAAAAAAGTAGTTAAGTAATTTATTTTAATTGAATAGCAACTTGAATTGACAATAAATTTTGAAAGAAGATATAACATGCTCTGAAATTTTGGAAATTGGAATTGGAATTTTGAATTTATCATCATTTAATAACAATTTAAGTTAAAATCTGGAAAAATTAAATTATTCCGGAAAATAATTTCGGACTTTTAAATGTAAAGTACCAGTATTGTGATGCCTTGCATTTCAAAAAAGAGGAGGTGAACGGCCATTT